CCCGCCCCCGACTTGTTGTTTCGCTCATTCTTCATGGTTTAGTGCAGATGTGACCCTGTCTTCTTACCCTGAGTGCAAAGGCCTTCGTATTCTTTGCCATGCACACACTAAAAAATAATGCTCCAATGGGACAGTGTGAACAGGCGCGGTGGCTCAGGCTGGTCAGAAATAGTGCAGCTAGACAAGTGTTTGCCAATCATTTTTAAACAAAGCTGATATAATCTTTTGAAAATAAGAATTGGCTCAGATCATTGTTTGGTATTGCCGGGACGATTTTCACTTGCAACCATCCAAAAATGCATCAACATGTCGATAGTTTATTTAACATTTTTATTTTCTTGCAAGTTCCTTTTCTTGAGTGTGATGGGGATGTGTGGGTGCCCTTAATTAATTACTTACATGCAGCTGTCTTCCAGACCGCTTTCTGATGCTCTGTGGAGTCTGGAAAAGAGTCACTGGATTGGGTGACCCACTGTTGGGCTTCGACATCAGCCACGACCAGCACACGAAGGAGTCAACATTGGCCCTGTGAGTTCACAGGGACACACAGGGCTGTAAAGGAGATGGGGAAGAAAAGCTTTCCATGGGCAGGGGATGGTTGTGCTAGGAAGACATAATATGCTGATCCTTTGCTCATGTTAAGCTTTGCCATCTTTGCAACAAAATTAGTCAGAATTAAAAAAAAAAAGATTTCCATCTCCACAACCCCGGAGATGCCTCTCCATGGACAGCCCTCATACCTGCCTGCCCTCGCCGGTCCCAGTTGCAGATGAGTAACAGTCTGTCTCCTAAGCAGCAGTTTCGGCTCAGGAGGCAGAGCCCCTTCTCCCGGCCCTCGGGGCACCTGCCTGCCCCAAGCACCGGGCCTCCCCGTCACCCCTGACTCCTTTCCCCCTTTATTCCTTACATTTAGATTATCACTTAATTTTCTGGCACTGCCTTGATGTTGATGGTCTGTCCCTCCTTTTCCCGCCCTTTGCTTAAAAGTCTTTAGCCAAGCCATCATCCTTCGATGATAATAAGAAAACTTGGAAAAAGGGTTTGGTTCTTAGCTCACAGTGGCATCAATCAGGAGAAAGAGCACTGAAGGCCAAAGGGAGACAGAGGGGAGAACCTGGTTCACAGCTTCAGACTGCTCATTTTCCCTGGTTCATGCTGCTGCCTCCACAGGTCCAGCAAGCTGGCATAGGAAATCAATATTAATTTGCCATGTTCTGTTTCTACACTGTTAAGGTAAGACTCTTCCTTCTGCTGAACAATACATGGTTTTTCCTGTAGTCAGGGCAGGTATTGAAACAGTTGGATGTGTTGTTTTCAAGAATAACTGGGACCATATAACCCCA